TTAAATCATACACTTTGATATCTAGTACTAGAATTTGTTAAGTTTCTCACAAAATTTCTAGAAATTTGCAATTTTATTCATCAAGTACCAGAACGTCGTTTGTATTAAAAAACTTGAAACATCTTTGCTAAGTTTGGAGAACTATTCAGGACGTACTGTTTGCAATATTAATATGAAATTTGGATATGGTATTTCTTAAAAGATGTACTTTAATATCTAGTACTAGAATTTTATTAACTTTCTCACAAAGTTTTCCAAAATTGGCAATTGCATTCATAAAGTACCAGAACGTCGTTTGTACTAAAAGACTTGAGTATTAATAAATATGTTAGCTATACTTGACGAACTATTCAGGACGTACTTTTTGAAATATAATTATGAAATTTAGATACAATATTCCCTAAATTATCTACTTTAATATCTAGTACTAGAATTTGTTAGGTTTCATACAAAATTTTCCAAAAATTTGCAATTATATACATCGAGTACCAGAACGCAGTTTGTATTAAAAAACTTTAAATATTTTTGCTAAGTTTGAAGAACTATTCAGGACGTACTGTTTAAAATATAAATATGAAATTTTGATACAATATTCCTTAAATTGTCTACTTTAATATATAGTACTAAAATTTATTAAGTTTCTCACAAAATTTTGTAAAATTTGCAAATCTATCCAGCAAGTACCAGAATTATAACTCTTGAGTATTAATAAATATTTTCGCTAAATTCAAAGAACTATTCAGGACGTATTGTTTATAATATAATTATGAAATTTGAATATATTATTTTTCAAATTATGTACTTTGATATCTAGTACTAGAATTTTGTAACTTTCTTACAAAATTTCTTAAAATTTGCATTTGTATGCACCAAATTCCAGAACGTCGTTTATTATATATATATATATATATATATATATATATATATATATTATAAAACTTATGTATGTTTTAATAAATATCAAAAAATTTTATAAAAATTTCAATATATATATATATAATATATATATATATATATATATATATATATATATATATTCAAACACAATAATTACATAAAAAATAAAAATCTTACCTCGGACAAGTTGCACAATATTTTCAAACTCGAATCACAACTGTTTAAAATTTTTTTTTCAAATCAAAACACAAATGTATCTATCAGGGTAAAACACGCACAAGCACTTTATTAACACTTAATAAAACCCAAAAAGTGTATATTTTAAACCTCAACATCTTTCACAAGTATCCAAGACACAGAAAACCAAATAAACCACCGCCTAATAAACCTGACACAAACGTAGTAAAATTTTAGTAAAACGGAAAAAATTAATATAGAAGTCTTTTACTAATTCTATTACTCTTCGGTTTATTTTATAAAATAATTCAAAATTAATTACAGCCTTGGTTTTATCCCGTCCTGCTGTCGCGGCGTCCGTGGCGACACTGACTGTGACTGACGAACGGCCGAGAACGGTTCAGGGGATTTTCGGCGCTCGTCCGAAGCGTTAACCGCGATCGGGCCGTCGTAGCAGGTTAGATGCGAAACGTCGCCTGCCTCGCCTGCGTCGGCGGACTTTTATGCGAAAAGTGGGCGTCTACCCTAGGGCGCCGAAGCGAACAGGTGGATGATGGAAAGATGGTAATAAATAGATGATTGTAGGCAGGAGATAGATAATTTAAGAAGATAATAATTTTTTTTTAATAAAGTTTGTCTCTGGACTATTATTGATATTACTGTTTTATTTTAAATTATCCTTTATGAGTATACCGAGTAGTTTTAGGATAAAGTTGGAAAATTTGTGAAGATGAATTTAGATAGGTGTTAGGAGATAAATGAGAGTCTATGATTATATTTATCACAAATTGATGAAGTAAGTGATTTTTAAAAATTAGTTTTAAATGGCAATTTACACAATATTGTCATTCCATTAACATTTAGTAGTGGAACCCTAGAATTAATGAAAATTATATACTTATCTTCTAGTCTATGCAGAATTTGTAGTAACGTATAATTTTAATGTTGAATTAAAAGTAAAGATTTTGTGGTGGTTGTAATTCAGAAATGTTATTTTTCAAGATATCTACTTTAATATCTGGTACTAGAATTTCTTAGTTTTTTAACAAAATTTTCTAAAATTTGCAATTATTTGCACCAAATACCTGAACGTCCTTCGAGTAATGATAAATATTTAAGCTATATTTGACAAACTATATTCAGTACGTACTGTTTGAAATATTATTATGAAATTTGGATATGACGATCCTTAAATAGTATACTTTAATATCTAGTACTAGAGTTAGTTAGATTTCTTACAATTTTTTTTTAAATTTGCGATTATATACATAAAGTAACAGAACGTCGTTTGTATTAAAAAACTTGAGTATTAATGAACACCTTTGTCATATTGGACGAACTATTCAGGACGTATTGTTTCAAATATAACTATGAAATTTGGATATAATATTCCTTAAATAGTCTACTTTAACACCTAGTACTAGAATTTGTTAAGTTTCTTACATTTTTTTAAAAAATTTGCAATTGTATACATCAAATACCAGAACGTCGTTTGTATTAAAACACTTGAGTATCGATAAATATTTTTGTTATATTTGACGAACTATTCAGGACGTATTGTTTGAAATATTATTATGAAATCTGGATATGATGATCCTTAAATAGTATACTTTAATATGTAGTACTAGATTTTGTTAGGTTTCTTACAATTTTTTTTTTAATTTGCAATTATGTACATCAAGTACCAGAATGTCCTTTGTATTAAATTATAGAGTATTAATGAACACATTTGTTATATTTAACGAACTATTCAGGACGTATTGTTTGAAATATAATTATGAAATTTGGATATGATGATCCTTAAATTGTATACTTTCATACCTAGTACTAGGATTTGTTAAGTTTCTTACAAAATTTTCCAAAATTTGCAATTTTATCCATCAAGTACCAGAACGTCATAAAATTAGTTTCATTATATTAAACAGTTAACTTTAATAAAATACTTTACTTCAATACGTTTCAAAATATTAGCAGAATATTAATACTATATTTGGTTAATATTGGTTAATATATAAAATTAATTTATAAAATAAAATGAAAATAAATTTTTTTAGTACATACCAATTAACGTGGAACTTTTTTTAAATTATTTTAATTTATTTGTTTTTTAATTTTTATTTTTAATTTAATTTAATTTTCTTAATTTTTTTCCCAAACTTTTATCAATTGTATAAAATAATTTCATTCTTAGTTTTTAATATTATATTAGAGTTAACTTTTTAGTGCAATGAGACTAATTTTATGACGTTCTGGTACTTAATGCAATAAATTACAAATCGTAAAAAATTTTGTTAGAAAATTGATAAATTCTAGTACTAGGTATCAAAGTACACGTTTTAAGAACTAATATATTCAAATGTCATGATTATATCTTCATCAGTACGTTCTGAATAGTTCGTCAAAATTAGCAAAGTTGCTCATTAATACTCAAGTTTTGACGTTCTGGTACTTATAATATTAGACAATATTATAAACAATTTAATTTTATACAGATTCCCTAAATATTTTATGTATTTTAAACAAACCGTTTAAAAGTTACATATCATTTTATAAATAAATGTTCGATTTGAGTTACTAAGGGAGTAAAAAGAATCATTAGTGTTAAAGGTGCAGCTTTTAGGGATATATCGAGTTACTTAATGACTTTTTAGGTTTTGTACTAATTCTTAATACCATGGTATATCTTAATTCACAATTCAATTATTCAAATTATAAAAATTTAAATAACAAAATAATTTGGCATGTTTGTATCTTTTTTTTAATCTGTAAATGAGAGCACGATCTCGAAGTAAAAAATCTTGAGGGATTTATTTCTGTGTAAAATATTATATATATTTAAGGAATAAAACAAAATGCACGTAAAAGAAGTTTAATGACTCGTATATATATTTTTGCAGAAAAAGAAGTATATAATGAGGTGTAATATTTCATTTTGGGGCAAAACGGTTCAGAATTATTTATACGTGGGAAAATGTTCTTCAAAAATTCGTAATATAGGTATATAGGTATACTTATATATAGTGGATGTGTTTTGTATTAAATTAGGATCTCATTTAAAAATTGTCATCTAAATTTTATGTTTTTTTCACAATATGTTGGAAGTTTTGAAGCCTGTAATCTTGTTACTGAGCGCTCGGGTTGCTTTTAAATAGTTTTACGCTTCTAGGAACTATATAATTAGTTGAAAAACATCGTAAATATATATATATATATATATATATATATATATATATATATGTATATATCTATTTAACTTTTTTATCCTCGCTTGTAAAGATAATTGGAACGAGTAAACTTTTAAAAAAACATAAAATAAGGAAAAAGATTGCTCTGAGAAATTTTATACTTTTTCTTTATAGATAGATACACCTTGGGGATATAATTTATTTAAATTGCTTGCAGTTTACAGTCAATTATAGTCTAATAAATACATGCCTAATAAATAAATAATTTAAAAAAAAAAAAAAAAAAAAACTAGTCACGTATAAAGTTTAAGATTCAAGTATAATTTGCAAGTGGAATTCATGTTTTTTATGAAGTACACTTTTCCGGTGCATCGTTTATAACTTTTAAAATATTCATGGTATATAAATGGTATATTTGGCAAATTTGTGTAAAATTCAATAACCAACAATATTGTCTAACACTATAATGCCCTACAACAACTGGGTATACTCATAAATGGCAAAGAAAAACAAGAAAAAAACTTCAGAAATTTGTTCCTATATTGTTTACACTATTTGAGATATTTAAATAAAATATTTGGTAAATTTGTACAAAACTAAATTGTCCTTTACCCTTTACCCTCTACCCTCTACCCTTTACCGAAATTAAAACAAATATATAACACTTAATTACCTCAAGTAATTTTAATAAAAATAAAGTAAAAGGAATGAATGCCATTAAAAGTACTTTTGATGAGATTTAATGAGAAATTTCCCAGTTTTTCCGAAGAATAAAAGATTTTGCTGAAAGAGAAAACGTTTTGATAATTATTACCTTGGAAATTAAACATCAAAATTAATGCGAAAATGCGTACTTATTGCAATAATAAAGGAAAATGTCTTAAAACGTGTAATTCCAAGATTTATGTGAATAATAAAGCACCGAAATTATTCGTTTTATAACACTAGGGGTAAGTAGAATTTTTTTTAAAAAAAATTGGGATTTATGGAATGAAACTTTTATAAATACTGTATCAATTTATATAAATTTATTAAATGTTACAATATTAGCATTTAAACAATTTTCAGTCATTTATATACAATGTTTAATGTACATATTCACCTACAAGTATTAATAATAAAAAAATGTTATTCTTTCAAACAAATAACATTATCGAGATTCTAAAAATCGAACTTAATAATTATGCTATCATTTTCTTAAGAAAAACAACAAAATCCATACTTTTAATTAGTCAACTATTTCTTTACTCATAATTTGGTAGAAAATGTCGTGACAATCATAATGTTATAAAAATTTTATATTTAATTGGTCTTTATATAGTAATAAATTATTTATTTCATAATTCGATTTAGATGTGAAATTGAAAATAATAGCAATCAAAGTCCATTTTAAAATAATTACTGTAATGTTTTTAAAATCACACAGATCATCATATATCAATATATATATATATATCATATATATATATATATATATATATATATATATATATATATATATATTAAATTAATTAAATAATATTACACTGAAGACAAAATAAAATTGGTCTCGAAAAGTTTGTAACATGATAGTATTTAATAAATAAGGCAAAAAGGTGTAATGTATTCATATTTTCAAATATTTATATATATATTCAGGATTTTATTTTTCTTAACTATGAATCGCCTTTTTATTATAAATAATTTATCATTTTTATAATTATTTCTATTTTCGGTGATACTTTTAGAAATTATTTTTTCATGCATATAATTTGAAAATTAAACTAACTGATTCCTTTACCTTTGAAGTATTATTTTTTTTAAAAAAAACTAAGCATTTACAAAAAATTATAATTGGTAATACTTTGAAAGTGTGTGAAAAAAAACTTTTAAAAAAATATATAGAGCTCCAAAAAATCACTTTACAATTGTTACGTAATATTTTGCAAATATAACTTTTAATAATCACTTGATGTATAAATTCTTTAAAAGTATTGTAACTTGTCTGAAAATGTTTTAAATTTATTGAAAATGTTTTGAAAATTTTTTGAAAATTTGTGTGAAAATGTTCTAACTTGTCTGAAAATATAGTAACTTGTCTGAAAATGTTTTAGAATGTCTAAAAATATTGTAACATGTCTGAAAATGTTCTAGAATGTCTAAAAATGTTATAACTTGTCTAAAAACATTTTATATTGTCTGAAAATGTTGTAAATTGTCTAAAAATGTTGTAAATTATCTGAAAATGTTGTAAATTGACTAAAAATGTTATAAATCGTCTGAAAATATTGTAACTTGTCTGAAAATATTGTAACTTGTCTGAAAATGTTGTAAATTAACTAAAAATATAATAAATTTTCTGAGAATGTTGTAAGTTATTTAAAAATGTCGTAAATTGTCTAAAAACGTTGTAACTGGTCTGAAAATATTGTAAAATTTCTGAAAATTCTACAAATTGTTTAAAAATGCTGTAACCTGTCTGAAAATGTTGCAATTTGTCTAAAAATGTTGTCTGAAAATTTTACAAATTGTTTGAAAATGTTCTAATTTGTCTGATAATGTTCTAGAATATCTAAAAATGTTGTAACTTGTCTGAAAATGTTGTAACTAGTCCGAAAATGTTGTAACATGTCTGAAAATGATGCAACATGTATAAAAATGTTCTAACTTATCGAAAAAATCTAAATTGTATGAAAATTTTCAAATATGTCTGAAAAATAATTAATAAAAACCTTTTTTTAAATCGAGACTGCAATTGTTACGCAATATTCTGCACATAATAATAATATTAATAATGAAATATTGTAAAGTGCCTTAAAATTTTTTAACTTGCCAGAAAATGATGTAACATGTCTGAAAATGTTGTAAAAAAAAGTTGTAAGAGAAGTGTTCTAACTTGTCTAAAAAAATTCTGAAAATCTTGAAACTTGTTAAAAAATGTTCTAACTTGTCTGAAAAAAAAAATCAAAATTGTCTGAAAATATCGTAGAAGAACTGAATCTGTAGTTATTCTTTTTAAATACTAATAAAAAAATATTATTATTATTATTTTTAAATCGAGACCTCAAAAACTATATTGCAATTGTTACGTAATAATAATAATCATAATTGAATTTTTTTGTAATTATCTATGCATCAATAAAAAAAATCTAGTCCTGAATTTATAATCATGTTGTTTGTATAAACTAATAATCATTTATTCATCGATTCAAATAGAGGAAATTTTGAATAAAATTTAAAAAAAATGTATTTACCATCATCAGTAGAATTTTGTTTATAGTGATTTATTATTTATGATCTGTGTGATATCAAAACCTTAAACTTAATCATACCTTTATTAACTTAGTCTCCAACTATCTATTACTATTACGTCATATAAACTGGCCACAAATAAACAGTACTAGAATCACCTCCTGTTGTAGCACCACCAGCTCCCGTACTAACTCCTGGTGTCGTTGATGAATCCAAATTCTTTGTGAATCTACCTAAAGATGTCTGGTCACAATTTGTATTCGATGTGGAATGTAGTTGGGGATCTGAATTTGCACTGACTTGTACTTGTAATTCTAAGGAACAGCCTTTGTTGTTTTGTGCTGATTTGAGATCGATTTCCAAGGATGGTGAGCAGAGTCGTTCGTTGGTCAATGTTGATTCCAAGGATTGGTCCTGGAAGGAAAAAAAAGTGAATTTAACTAATTGTTATCATTTTCCTTGAGTCAAGTTCCGAAATAATCGGATTAATCGACAAGAATTCAATATATTAATTTATGAGTGATTTACTAAGTATCCCGAGTTGCTGTAGAGCATTATAATGTTGCATATTATCCAATTTCATAAAAATTTACAAAATGTGTTTGTTATTTTTGAAAAATAGTTTAAATTCCATAAAAATCGCAAAAGCTTGCCATGTCGTCCGAACCTAACACAGCGCTTTCTCATACATTTTTACACAGGCTTGGATATGCATGGTAAGCGTTATTTCAATATTTTTAACTTGTTTATGTTCTCGCCAAAAAAAGTGAAATTTCTTTACAATATATTTAAAAAAGTGTTTGTTTTTTATTGAATGAAGTACTACTGATAATTTTATAAATTATTTAAATAAAGCCAAAACAAAATGGATAGCCTGATCACTTATCTGAAAATCGTTTTAAAATAAAATAAGTAGTCTCAAATTTTTATAAATAATTTAAAGATCTTATGAATCGTCGGAAAATCTTATAATTTTTTATTAAACATTAATTTAGAGATAAGATTTATATAAGGTAATGTTACAAATTGTTTGTTTGAAAATGTTGTAAGTTGTCTGAAAATGTTGTAAATTGTTGAAAATTTTGTAAATTGACTAAAAATGTTTTCAGTTGTCTGAAAATATTGTAAATTGTCTAAAAATGTTGTAAATTGACTAAAAATAAAGTCGAAGGTCTAAAAATGCTGAAAATTGTATAAAAATGTTGCAGAATGTGTGAAAATGCTGCGAATTGTATAAAAATGTTGTCTGGAGATTTTCTGTAAAATCTTGTACATTGTCTGAAACTGTTTTAAATTTCTGAAAATATTGTAGATTGTCTGAAAATGTTGAGAACTAACTGATTAAAAATGTCGTAAATTGTCTGATATTGTCTGAAAATATTAAAAATTGTCTAAAAATGTTGTAAATTGTCAGATAATGTTGTAAATTGTCCGAAAATGTTGTCAAAAGTCTAAAAATATTGTAAATTGTCTGGAAAAAATGTAAATTGTATGAAAATGATGTGAATGGCCTGAAAATGCTGCAAATTGTTTGAAATTCTTTAGATTGTCTAAAAATACTACAATTTGTGTTCAAATGTCGTAAATTGTTTGAAAATGTTGTAAATTGTCCTGAAAATGATGTAAATTGACTAAAAATGTTGTAAATTGTCTAAAACTGTTAAAGATTGTCCGAAAAAGTTATAAATTGTCTAAAAACATTGTAGATCATCTGAAAATGTTGTAACTTGTCTGGAAAACTCGTAATTTGTCTGAAAATATTATATATAGTTGAAAAATGTTGAAAATTGACTGAAAATGCTATAAATTGACTAATAATGATGTAAATCGTCTGAAAATCTTGTATAATTTCTGAAAATTCTGCAAATTCTCTAAAAATATTATAGCTTGTCTTAAAATGTTAAAAAATAGTTTGAAAATATTGTAAATTGTCTGAAAATGTTGTATATTTTCTGAAAATTATGTATATTGTCTAAAAATGTTGTAAATAGTCTAAAAATGTAACTTGCTTAAAATGTCAAATTGTCTGAAAGTGTTTTGGATTTTCTAAAAGTGTTTATTAGTTGTAACTTGTTTAAAAGTCTTCTAACATGTCCGAAAGAATTCTATCTTAACTAAATCTGTCCTAATTTAATGAAAAATTGTTTTAATTTATCCAAAAATGTTCTAGCTTGTCTGATACTTCTGTAAATTGTCTGAATATGTTTAAAATTGTCCAGAAATTCGGCACGTATATATGTGTGTTTTTAATTAAATTTTTGTAATATATAATAATAAATTATTTTTGCAGATTGAAATTGCATCAATAAGAATATCTATATTAGAATAAGAATATCTAGTATTAATTACTTTAATTTACCTGTAATTGATTGGCATCTATATACTTCGTATTAGTACTATCAATAATCTCCATTTTCATATTATGCAATTTGGAACCTGAACTATCGCTATCATCCATCGTAAACTGCTGTTGCATCTTATTATTAGTACTGGATTCTGATGACTTGGTGGACAACCTATTTGTATCTGTAGAAAAAAAATAAACGTAAGTAAGAATTAAGATTTAGCCAACTTTTGGAAATTATGTCTACTAACTCAGGTCGATTTTGGAATCCTGTGCAGCATCCCCATTGGTCTCCTTATTCTCGATCTTCAAATCTTCTTTTTTGGCTACAGTTTTGGAAGTCTGTCCATTACAATTACCATTTGCAGATCTTTCTCTGGTATGTGTCGACATATGTCTCTTCATATCACCTCGGACACGGAAGGGCCTTCCACAAATTTCACAAGGGTAAGGTTTTTCACCTAAAGAAGAACCAGGTCCCAATAAATATAAATATGAATATGAATATAAATATAACTAGTGGTGTATGGCATCGTGCCTTAAGGCAAATTGCTGGAACTTCCCGTACCGTAATAAAATATTCGAGAAATTTGAAACGTTTTCAAATATATTATTACAAATACTGTAGCTTTCATTATTTTTGCTATCTTGTCATATCCGAGCAAATCAAATATAAATCATAAATCAATTTATCTCCAGAACATTAACAATCTTCATTTCATTTCGAATTCAATTTCAAAAAATAATAGTTGCCTAATTTGCACTAAATTAAAAAAGTGCTCCCGTATAGTCACAGTCTAAACGCATTTGCAAATTATTCTGTGCGACATTTTCACTTGTACTGTGCTTAGCTTGGCGGCATTTTCACATTTTTCAATAGTTTTCACAAAATTGGACAAGTGTTCCAGTACCTAAACAGTCTAAACGCACTTGGGTAAACATTTGTACCAGAGTGGCGCTTAGACTGTGTTTAGTCTGGGCAATTTTTTGAATTTTAAATCCAAAATTACAAAAATATTTCATGGAAAATAAAAAAAAGATGTAATAATTTTTATCCTCGAAAGCATTTGTTTTGTCAATACAAGCAGAAAGTTTTTTGAATCATTCAAATCGGACGCTTAGTTCACTCAAAAACTGCCATTTTTTGCACATTTAGCTCTGTATCTTCGAAATGGCGGGACCTGCATTTGCCAAAAACTAATCACCTCTTCTCCCAATCATTACAAATTGAATGTTTTTTAGATGACCGATTTATTCTTCATTCATATAAAATTATAGCGAAAATTTTGAAAATGCTATGCATTTACTATGCTATCAGTCGTTTTACATATAAAACCTAACTTCACGCGTGCGTTATAAATTCAGAAAGTCACAAAGATGCAGTTACATTTTTTTGACGTTCGTGCGTTTTTCAAGTTAAATTTCATATCTAAAACGCCTGGCAGCACTGCAAATACATAGCATTTCAACAGTTTTTACTACATTTGATGAAGAAAAGAGCGTTATATAACAAGCTATGTTATGGTATATTTTATCGAAGTATTAGCCCCTTAATTAAAGAAAGTTGCCATATTAATGCTATGTTGAGGTCTGTTTTCCCAGACAATTGGCCCCTTAATCTTGATAAAATAATACTGTTGTTGACGCAAATAGCATGGCATATGGATAGAATATTATAGAGAGTGTAATTAGAGACAATAAACGAGTAATTAGAGATGAGCTGTGTTAAAAGAGTCGAACCAAGTTAACACTATTAGATCCGATACTCCGTTCTCTCAAAAACTCGATTTGTATTTTCCGTACTCTTTGCTCCGTATCTGCGTAACGACTGGACCTGCCTTTGCCAAAAACTAATCAGCACATCTCCCTATCAAAAGGGATCGAATGTTTTTTAAACCATTCTAATCGGTTGATCTGTGCGCCCGAAAACGTGGACGAAAGAATGCGGACATACAAAAAACACACACACACACATGCATTTTTTCTAAGGTATGCCAAAATGTTCAGAAACCTTCAGAACGTCGAGAAATGCAAAAATTTTCATTCTCGATTTTCGGCCCATTACTATAACTACCCTACGGGAAGTTAATATAAATATAAATATAAATATGAATATGAATATAAATGCAAAATATAAATATAAATATAAATTTAAATATAAATATTAGGGTGCTCCTTAATATGTAACTTTTAGATAGAGCGCAATTCAATCAAACTTCGTATGGAAATAGCATGGAAAAAATTTTGAAAATTAAAAAAAAAATTTTTTAGGTATAACTTAGCGACAAATGAATTAAAAGTGAAAATTCGTGTCATTTTTTATTGAAAATTCGACGCTCCGCAAAATTTTTGAAAAAATTTTCATGCTATTTCCATACAAAACTTTGATTGAATTGCGCTCTATTTAAAAGACAATATTAAGAGCTAAAACTTTCAGAGAATTGTTTTTTATCAATTTGGAACCATTTGAGCCCTTGGGAGCAAGGAAATTCGAAAATGTCCATATTAAGGACCACCCTAATAAATATAAATATAAATATAAATCCTATTACCATGTGTCTTTTATTTTACCTGTGTGTATCCTCCGATGGTTCTGCAAATAAGAACTGGCCCTAAAAGTCTTGTTACAGAATTCGCACTTATAATTTTTCTCGCCTGTGTGTATTCTTCGATGTAAAATCAGGGAATATTTTCTGGCAAAATCTTTTCCGCAAAATTCGCACTGGTATTGCCTGATGTCGGAGTGTATGGAGACCATGTGGTATTTTAAATCGCTCCATTGCCTGAAATGCCTTAGACAAATCCGGCACTGGTATGGTTTGTCGCCAGAGTGACGGCGCATATGAACCTGGTAATAAAAAATTTTTGGGTAAAAAAAATGTAGAATTTAATTTTTTATCTTTAATTACCTTCAAGGCACTGGTGGCAAAGAAACTATTTCCGCAAATTTCGCACTGGTACGGCCTTTTTTCGCTGTGGGATTGAATATGATACATAAGACTGTTCCTGTGATTAAATTGGCGATCGCACTGAAGACAATTCAATTTTGGCCCCATGAATTTTTCCAAGC